GTCAACAGATAGACAGAGCCCCCTTGGCCAGGAAGCAAGCACAAGGTCGTGAGTTCGATTCCTGGTACCAGAAGAAAAACAGAAAAAAAAAAAAAAAAAAAAAAAAAAGCTTTACCCAAGAAGTATCATTTTATTTCACGATTTTAGGTCCTGTTGGTTATGACAACCCTATTGCAAATATCTCTGCAGCCAAAGGGAGAGGTAACTGATAAGAGTAGTATTGGTTAATGCAAAACCATCATTAACATTGAAAAAGAAGCTGAAATATAAGACTTGCACAAATGCTTCCTTTTTATATGTTGTCTGGATGTCTCCCTAAAGCCTTATGTGGTCATGGCATGGACTTCTAGAGTTTATGATTGATTCATGGTTCAATGTTGGGATTATAGGTGTGAGTGCTACACCCACCCTGGGGTGGGTAGTTTGCATGCAACATAAGGGAGGGAAAGAGGCTGCTTGTTGTGGCTCCTCCCTTTTTGCTCTTGCTGCTTTTGCTGTTTTCTGCCATCCTGAACTGTTGCCCTCTGCCATGCCACTCTGCCTTGGAGCCAGCCAAGTATGGACTGAAACCTCCACAAACTGCAAGCTAAATAAACCTTTCCTTCCTTAATTTTGGGCATCGGGTATTTTGTCTCAGCAATGAGAGAAAAGTAACCAAGACAAAATTAAGAATAGCACTGCGAGATTTGGCCCTGGTGGGCTGAAGATATAGTTCAGCAGCACAAGTACTTGCCTGGCAAGTGCAAAGGCCTGAGTTTGATTCCTTGTACAAAAAGAATAACAAAAAACCCCTCAAAAAACAACAGCAAAAAGATTTGACCCTGTCTTCTCCCTTAGTAATGTACCACAGCACAGGAAATTAGGCAGTTTAAGTTTTAACTTGTCTTATACTTAGCAACACATTACTTACTAATGAGGCCCTGCTAGTGTTTGTCTTCTCTGCCAAGGTCCCTTAGAGCTCTTGATGAAGATTTCAGTGAAACACAGTGAAAAGATACCTAGACAGCTTAGTAGCAGGAGAAGGAACAAGAACTCCATAAGGATATTTCTTGAAACTCTGGAAACTAAACATTCTGGGAAGAGTTTGCCTTAAAGATACTTTATTCCTTCCCCTGGTATATTCCTCTGCAGGATTAACCTTCAAGTGTCCTTCTAGCCTGAGACTGTATGAATCAATGATAAATTCTTAATGGGCAGTTTGAAACTGACCAAGGGGGAAGATGATATGGGGCACTTTACTGCCCAGTAGAAGAGTTACCAAATCTATAAAAATCCTAAACAGTTTTCAGTGTATCAAATGCAGATTGGCAATGAAAGTTTATTAAATTTAATGATAAAATGATAAAT